CTGGAAGAAAGCCATGCTGTGAACATCCTATGGAGGGAGTCACATGGCAAGGAACATGTGGGTGATCTCTGGATGTTGAGGGCAGTCCTCAGCTGGCAGCTAGCAGGCACACAAGGACCAGAGTCCTGCAACAGCAAGCAACTGAATTCTGCCAACAGCCAGTGATCTTAAAGGAAGAGCCCTACACCCCAGATGAGGACTATAGCCTTAGCCAATACCTTGATTTCATCTGTGAGCAGAGAATGCAGTCACGTGCCTGGACTTCTGACCTACAGAAACTATGAGATAACTTTGTGTTGCTTTAAACCACTAAATTTGTGATAATCTGTTGTGTAGCAATAGAAAACTAATACAGCAAGAAAGAAAAGAAAAAGAAACATACACAATTATCAAATCATCAGTCAGATGATTTTGTTCAAAGCCCAGGCAGCTTCCCCTCAATCCTGCCACATCACAGATAAAGATTTTGTCACTGACGATGTCAATACAAAATACTCAACAGTGCAGAAAAAAAAATCTCATTTGCCACACTGGGCTTGTCCTCCTGGGAAGGTGTTCTGTACTCACCAGCTTCACTGGCAAAGGGCAAAGCTGACCCACCTGTCCAAGAGGCAGCAAGTTTGGGGCCTGCAAGGCTGGTTCATACGGTTAGAGCAAGGGCTGAGTTGTGTCCAACCTAAAGCTGGAACAGCCTTCTGACATCAGGCTGAGATATATGACCTACAGACTTGGCTCCACCTCCACCTCCAAGACCTTCTGGGAAAATTAGGCAGGGAGTTTTAGGACCCAGGGACCAGAGCTCTGAGGTTTATTGAAGAAAATAAAAGGCAGAGAGTGTAATGATTAAGAGCTCCTGTTCCTGCATTAAACTCTGGCTTCACCACCTACTGTGTGACTTTTGCAAATTCCTTAGCCCGTCTTCATCTTCATCTGTAAAATGGGGATGATGGAGTTGTGAAGGTTTCAGGTGAGGCTTATAAATCACTGATACATGGGACCTTCTGTTACTAAGCTTCTAAAATGGGAGTTGTTTAGTTGCTGTTGATGCTGACTGGGTCTTATACTCAATTCCCAATGCTGGGCTTTCATCCTATCTAATAAGGAGGGAATATGCTAATTGGCTGCCACACCCTCAAAGATGGTGGCACCCATAGCCAATAAGGAGGGAATATGCTAATTGCTGCCATGCTCTCAAAGATGGCGGCACCTGCAGCCAATAAGGAGGGAATATGCTAATTGACTGCCATGCCCTCAAATATGGCAGCGCCCACAGCCACAAGATGGTGGCACCCAGTCCCTTCAGCCCCACTGGGGCAGCAGGCACACAGCCGCTCCACACACCTGCCTCCAGAGTCCCCCAGTCCCCTCAGCTCCCCAGCCGCTCAGGGCCAGCCCGAGGCACAGGCAAGCCTCGAATGGTGGCTGCCCAGCTGCCCAGGGCTGTCTGAGGCTCAGGTAACCAGGGCCGGCTAAGGCTCAGGTAATCAGAGCCAGCCGAGGCTTGTGCTGCCGGCAGTGATGGCAGCAGAGGTGTGATGGGGTGTCACCTTCCCCTGATCACTGGGTCGCCTCCTGCCCCTGAGGGCTCCCCGACTGTGAGAGGGGGCAGGTGGGGCTGAGAGACCCCCCTCCAGTGCATGAATTTTCATGCACCGGGCCTCTACTCATATAATAAATGCCCAACTCCATGCCCCAGAATAGACAGCTGAGAATATTTTGGTCCCTTGTTTCTGAGCCTCGAGTGTCTGCCTAATGACTAACCACTTCAGCCTAGTATATGGAGTATCAGACCATGTCAGTCAGGCCCAAAATAAACCCAGAATAAATCAATTGTCCTTCCCTGACCTCTTCTTGCTTTCTTCCTTTATTATAAAATAAATTGTGCTATCAATGTGTACCCAATGCTCAGCATTTCTACTGGATAAAACCAAGGAAATAATAGTAAACTGACAATATGAGAGTGAGCTATAATAAATATGGGCTCTTTGCTCTCTAAAAACAGACAAAGTAGTTACCATTTTTAAAAGATGGTTTCACAAGGCTAAATATTTACATTCCTCATTCATTAAGGTGGGGGGTCTATTAAAGTCACTGAACCAGCTTCAATGATAGAATTTATGAAGTTGTGCCAGATTGTGATGATAAAACATTCAAAGGTATATGCCATTTACAAATATAACTACAGCTAGACTCCTAAACACAGACTTTCCCTTTTAATAGAACCTTCTTTCTGGGCATTTCTAAGTGAGGTAATTTGAAATTTTCCTAAACTACAAGAAGGGAGGTGCTGGTAATACTTTCCCCATTTGCAGATATGACCATCTATTATATGGATTTGCAAATTGGTTAATTGGAAGATTTAAGAAGAAAAATGCTGTTGTAGTAATTCTGTGCAGTCCTGGATTAAACTCAGAGGATTTAGCCAAGAGCAGATTAACATAAGCAAGAGTCTGTCAAATACATTTTAGATGGGAAAACAGGCTAATTTTTAAAATAGTGTTCTCAAAAAGAAAACTATCGCAAAATGTCTACAGCCCCTTTCTCCTTAGCAAATGACTCCCCCGACTAGAGTATAAGATCCAAAAAGTCAGTATCTTTGTCTGTGTTGTTCACTGTGGCCACCCTGGTGTCTAGAATAATGCTTATCACAGACACAGGCACTCACTCAATATTTTCTGAGTAAATGAATTAATGAAATTAAATGAATTAGCAAGTGGCAGGATGCTGTCTAAATTCTGAGCAGTTATAAATGTAAACATAATCAGATCAAGAAGAAAACAAAGAAAGAAGCAGGTAGGTGAGGTTCTATAAAGCCACATTTGAATTTTGGGGTACATGGGCAAAGAAGGAAACCCAGTAACATTGGCATTTATTATTACAAAGTTCTTATTCCTGGATGGAATTTTCCAGAGTCTATGTTGTAAACCATCTTACAATGGGTTATTTATGAGGAGCAAGCCTTTTGCTTACCTGTCTATGTGACAGCAGCGCCATCTGTTGGGTAGTTAGTTGGGCATTGTAGAACAACATTCTAAGTATTTTTTTCCCTGAATTTAGAATTACAGAAAATTATATCGAAAATATCTTTAGAGGTCATCTAGGCCATATGTAATCTTCCAGGTAAATATTTTCCTTAAGTAGGTACAGTATTTTCTTTATTTATATTGATGGAATGGAATTCCAAATTCATCTCTCAGAGAGAAGTCTGAAACTACAGCCATTCATTACTGAATTATATCACAAGTCTCATGTAAATGAGAAACTTAAAGGCAGCTAAAATCCATTTGTTGAGCATCTGAAGACCACTGTCCAAAAGAAATGTCTTCAAAAAAACTTCTGCAACAATGGAGCGAAAGAAGCTTCTGCAATGACATATATCTGTGCTGTCCAATGTAACAGCCACTAGACATGTGTAGTTATTGCACATATGAAATATGGCTAATGACACTGAGGAAATGGATTTTAATTTTATCTAATCTCAATTTACATTTTTAAAAATATTTTTATTGATTTTAGAGAGAAAGGGAGAGGAAGATATAGAAACATAAATGAGAATCATCAATTAGCCGTCTCCTTCCTGTATGCCCCCTACTGAGGATAGAGCCCACAACTTGGGCCTGTGCCAGTGACCAATTGGTTCATAGGTCGACCCTCAACCACTGAGCCACACCAGCCGGGCTCCATTTTAAAAAATAGTCACATATGGCTACTGGAGGGTTTCTCAACCTTTGCTGTGGGCATTGTCCTGTGCACTGTGGGGTGTTTAGCAGTATCCGTGGCCTCTATCCACTAGATGCCAATAGCACATACCTTCCATTCTCCCCCAGTTGTGACAACCAAAAAGTCTCCAGACATTTTCAAGTGTCCCGGAGGGATCAAAATCATCCCATTTAGAACCACTGGTAGTAGCTACTGTATTGGACAGTACGGTCTAGAATATGCCTCATATGTATATACTATTTGGGCTGAGAAAAAGAACTGGCCCTTATACTATACTATGACAGTTGTGATTTTGTTATAAGAACAGGGAAGGTTAAAAAAAAACATCAGGCCCTAATCGGTTTGGCTCAGTGGATAGAGTGTCAGCCTATGGACTGAAGGGTCCCAAGTTCGATTCCGGTCAAGGGCAGTTGGGGATGTGCAGCAGGCAGCTGATCGATGTTTCTCTCTCATTGATGTTTCTAACTCTCTATCCCTCTCCCTTCCTCTCTGTAAAAAATCAATCAAATATATTTAAAAAAACAAAACAGAAACATCAGATATAGCAAAGAAACGTTCTTCCTTCTTTATCTGCCTTCCCATGTAACAGAGATGGAACCAGAATAGTAACACTGGAAAATTCTGCCTCACTCCAAAGTCCCCAGGTTAGCATCAGCAAACCTGTACTCAAATCTGGCTTTCCTGTCCCTGCTGTGGGTAACTGGACACACTGACCTCACAGATCTCTGTGTCTCACCTGGAGAAGCCAGGATAGCACCCACCTGACGGTCGCTGTGAGGGCTAAATTAGATAACGTACAATGTGTTCCGGGCTCACTGTTCAGCACAAAGCAGATATTTAAAAAAAAAACACACACAGTTGTTCTTTTAGCCACCCTCTTCCAGGCAAGAGGGAAAAAAGTCTTTATTATCCATAAATGAGTGAGATCATTATAAACTGATGAACAAAAAATAGATACAGAGGCAGAGAAGCATCAAACAAACTGTCAAACTACAGCAGAAAGGCTGGGGAGGGTTGTGGGGGGAGGTAAGAGATCAACCGAAGGACTTGTATGCATGCATATAAGTATAACCAACACACTGGTAGGGGGTGAGGGCATGTGCCGGGGCTTAGGGGAGTCTGAGGGAAAGTCAACTGGGAAAAAAAGGAGACATAAGTGCTACTATTTGTAATATTTTAAACAATAATAAAATAAAATAGAAATGACAACAGCCAACATAAAAAAAGAAAAAAAGTCTTCATGTCTTTGAATCAACAATACAAAAGTACCCAGTGTGTTTCCATTGAAAAAAAAAAAAAACACAACAACTTTATTTAGGAATTCCTGTGGCTACAGCACAGTGATAACGCTTGCCTTGACACACTTAACTGTGCAGGAGAAAATTTTTCAGCTCATCTGGGAGGAGGAGTTCATTGATCTTATGATGCTGCTGGATCCCAAAACACTTCCGGATTTGAAGGCGGCATAACTGCATCAAAGAAGGGGGCTCTGGAGAGAGATCATAAGACAAGCCAGCATTGGTTTCAGTGATCTAAGATGGCTTTTCCCTTCCTTCTTTGAAAGCATACAAAACACAGGGTGGAGCAAAAGTAGGTTTACAGTTGTGAGTATGCAAAACAGTTTATTCTTGTATTATTATTTATTTATTATTTTATTTTCCATATGAACTGTTAACCTACTTTTGCCCCACCCTGTATAACATTTTTTATAAGGAAATATGGTACTGTTTAAGACCATTTTCTGTTTCTTATAGGAGGCATTTTAGGCCATGTTCTCCCTTTTCTGATCTAACTGAAATTAGTTTGTTGGGTTTTAATTTAGAACTGTCTTTAAAAAATTCAAAGCTTAGTCTCACTAATGGAGGCTTAAGGAAGGTAATGTTGGAATTACAAAGCTACACAGAATTCCCAGTAATGAGAACAAAATTTGTGTTAATGGCTTTCTTGTCTTTAACCTTTACAAATAAGGTCATATTTCTAGATGCAAAAATTTTTGTAATTTGGGCAATTTTAAGATATTCTAATATAATGAAGAAATCATAAGTGTGTTATCTTAAGTTATATTTGTTTGTATATTCTGCATTCAGAGCTAGCCCAGTGCTTGAATTCATAGGTGAAAAGTGAACTAGCACAAACTTTGCATAGGGAACCAGCCAAGAGTTGATATTTTATAGGACAGTGGTTCTCAACTAGGGGTTAGGGGAAGGAAAAAGGACAAGCATTTTGCTCTCCAGGAACACTTGGCAATATCTGGAGACACTTTTGGCTGTCACCACTTGGGGGAAGGTGCTACTGGCATATAGTGGGCAGAGACCAGGGATGCTGCTCAACATCCCACACTGCACAGGACAGCCCCAATGGCCCAAAATGTAAATAGCATTGAGGTTGAGAAACCCTGTTATAGGGTAAAAAGATGGGAAATTACTTCCCACCCCCACCCCCTGTACTAAATTGTAATGGGGATTCTCTCTTGGTCATTAGAAACATTTTTAAAAAGCAAAGCTATGTACCCTCAAGAACTCCAATCCAGACTGCACTTGAGAATCACCTATTGGGGGAGAAGGGCTCTCAGTTACATGTTTGGCCCCACCCCAAAGATGTTGCTTCAATTACTGTTGGGTAGGGATCATACATGCATCTGAATTTATTAAAGGCAGGGCCCCCAGGTGATTTGACTGTGCTGCCAGTGTTGAGAATAGAACCAAAAGGATACAGTGGCTTCTGGTTTCCTGTAGTGTCACCACAAGCTGCAGGATAAAGTGGGCTGCATATTTCTCAGGTGATGAAGAACAAAGAAAGGTGGAAATGGACACATACACAATTAAAAAATAAGTGCAATATTTTCCATCAAGCCCCCGCAGAACATTCAGAAGGCCCTACTGGAATTTAGGGTACCTTCCAGATTATGTTCAGTGTACTCAAGGCATACATCAGTACACTGTAAAAAGCGCACCATGGGGAAACAACTTACCGCACTAAGGAACATTGAGGGATGTGACGAATCATCTGTGCTAGATACACTGTTAGGGACAACTGTAGGAAGTACTGATAAAGAATTATGAAGAGCAAGCCTGATGGAGACTTAGGAAAAGCAGGACGCCCAAGCAAGGTCAGTGTAACTACTGATGCAAACAGGTATCTGCTATTTCCCACAAGTTGGATGATCAACAACAGCTGTAGCCTTCATTCCATTCTGGAGCCATTTACCCTACTCAATAATAAAATCATCTAATTCTATGTTGATGAATTGGAATATTGCTTTGGGTCTCAATTTCTTTTTCTTCTCCAGCAACCCTCATGATTAATAAGGCCAAAGCATATTCACAAGTGGCTCCTGTAATGCTGGGCTGAGAGAGAGTGATTTTAATTTTCATTGTTTGCCATGAGTAAACACTACTTAGATACTTTTACAGGTGGGTGGGATGGTAATATTCTTCAACTCCTTTCTGGCACCACCCAGAGACAGAAATCACTGTGTTAAATTCTCAGGTCTGGCCCTGGCCGGTTTTCTCAGTGGTTAGAGCATTAGCCCTCAGACCGAAGGGCTGCTGGTTCGATTCCCAGTCAAGGACACAAACTTTGGTTGCAGGCTCCAGCCCAGGTCAGGGTGAGAACAGGAGGCAACCAATCGATGTGTCTCTTTCTCAGAAAGATGTTTCTCTCTCACACATCGATGCTCCTCTTTCTCTCTCCCTCCTCCCTCCCTTCCACTCTCTCTAAAAAAAAATCAATGGAAGAAATATCCTTGGGTGAGGATTAAAATAAAAATTCACAAGTCTGGCTTTCTGCACTTGTGTGTCCCCCTTTTTCATGGGCTTCCAGCTGCTGCTGAGAGCTGACTTCACCCCAAAGATAACTCATGAAGGCAAAAAAAGGGTGATTCTCTCTAATGGCAACTGACATTTTATGAACCACTGGGATCATTAGCCTCACACGCTCACCAAAATGTGAGTTAACGAAATTAAAGGCAACATAGGTGTCTAGGAATGGTTTTGGGAAATAAAGTTGAAGGGAAAGTCCCACAACCCCTAAAATTTAATGTCCACACTCTGGTAAAATAAAATAGGTCCTAAGCTAGCTGCCCTCCTCCTCTAGGGACAATCCTATATAATAAAAGGGTAATATGCAAATAGACTGAATGGCAGAACAACCAAACAACCAATCAAAGCATAATATGCTAATGCTATGCTAAGGTTGCTCAACTGCTTTCTATGACGTGCACTTACCACCAGGGGGCAGACAGTCAACTGGTGTACCTGTCGCTATGATGTGCACTGACAACCAGGGGGCAGATGCTCTGACCAGTAGGTTACCTTGCTGCTGGGGTCTGGCCGATCAGGACTGAGTTAAATGGTCTGGACATGCCCTGGATCCCTCCCGTGCCCCTCCCCGGCCTGATCATGCACCGATGGGGTCCCTCAATCTGGCCTGAGCCCTCTCGCAATCCGGGATCCCTCAGGGGATGTTGGAGAGCCAGTTTTAGCCCGATCCCGCAGGCCACTCCCCTTGGGAGGGCGCCAGACACAGGGCTCATGACTGGCGAGTGCTGCTGTGGCAGAGTGATGGGGACTGATTGGGTGTGAGTCTACAGCAGGCACAGTGGGGCCAGGATGAATGGGAGAGGCAGGTTGGAGCTGCAGGTGGCATTGGACTGTGGGTTGTGGCCCGATCCCTGCAGGCCACCCAGAGGGACCCCACCATGCATGAATTCATGCACTGGGCCTCTAGTTAAGAATAAAACTGGGTCTGACTGGTGTCGCTCAGTGGTTGAGCATTGACCTATGAACCAAAAGGTCACTGGTTTGATTCCCAGCCAGGGCACATGCCTGGGTTGTGGGCTCACTCCCCAGTAGGGGGTGTGTAGGAGGTGGCCAATTGATGATGTTTCTCTCTCATGGATGTTTCTATCTCTCTATCCCTCTCCCTTCCTTTCTCTCTAAAATCAATAAAAATGTATTTTAAAAATGAATGAAATCAGAGGAGCTTTTGGTCCCCACCCCAAGCCACCCCTGACTTGCAGCCCAGGGAATTGCCCTTACCCCCTTGCATACTGCTCAACCACAGGTTTAGTTGTTAGGATTGGGTGTGTCAGTTCTTATTTATGGAGGAATGTGGACTTGGTGTTGATTAAGTTATACTAATAAATGTTTCTAGATTGCTGTGAATCATTAAAGTAATACCTTATAATGCTCAATTAGTTGCATTCTTACCCCCAGAAACCAAATGACCAGTAGTTTGGCCCATCTGTAGTACAGTAAGACATCCTGGGGCACTGTAAAATACCAAAGAGGCTTCTGCTCATTCTAAAACATGTTTTAGATAAAGTTAATATTAAAATTTTAGTCCTGGCGGGGTAGTTCAGTTGGTTAAGAGTGGCATCCCCAATATGCCAAGGTTGTGGGTTCAATTCTCGGTCAGGGCACACACAAGAATCAACCAATGCATGCATAAATAAGTGGGACAACAAATATATGTTTCTCTCTCATCAATAAATGAATAAAACATTAAAAACTTTAAAATATTATCTTCATTCTTTGAAAACTGGGCTAACCCACAAATGAATATTAGATCATCCAAACAAGCCTATCTCCCACATGTCAAACAACAGATGGTTATTTACTACATCGCTAGTGTTGTATGTACCTTGTGGAGTACTAAATTATCTCAGTTCCCACATTTGGTAATGGCTAGGAATTATCTTTTCTGTAGGGTTACAAGTCAGAAATCAGTAAGTACCTGCCTCCTGCCCATAGGACTCTACAGATTAGTGCTTAGATTCAGGCAAAGGAGCAGCACCTTCTCTCTGCATGAAGAGCTGAAACAGAGGGTCATCTGGAGACACCAACTCGAAGGGACGTTTGCCTTCAGCATTCTTGGCCTGCATGTCTGCTCCGAAGTCCAAGAGCAGGGTGGCCATCTCCTCATTGGACGCCCTAGCCACTGCATGAAGAGGGGACTCCAGGTCTCGGCCTCGGTTCACATTTACTCCTAAAGAGTCACAACAAGAGAGTGTCAGCCAAGGAGCAGAGTCTAAGCATCCCCCTTCTCAAAGTACTATGCCTCAAAATTCCCTAACAAAAGGGCATCCATACTGGGCACAGTGATTCTGAGAAAGTGAAAGATGACTTGATTCCATTTAATAACATGGGGACATGCTATTTGACCACGTCACTGAATGTACAACATGAGTTATCTACACTAATAAAAGAGAAACATGCAAATGGTGTCACTCTGCTACACCCACCAGCCAATCAGAGCGACTATGCAAAATAACCCAACAAAGATGGCTGTTAATTTGCATACGCAGGCACTGAGCGAAGACTGAAGACTGAAGACTGGAGACTGGAGACTGAAGAGGCTTGGCTTCTCCGCTGCAGCCAGACCAAAGGCCTGGGTCCCGGGTGCCAGCAGCCAGGGGAAGGAAGGCTTATTGCATGAATCTCTTCGTGCAATGGGCTTCTAATATAGTATATGAGGTTTAAAATCTCACCTGTGAGCACTTTCCTAGGTGTGGATACATACAAGAAAAATCCTGGTGGTCTAAAAGCTGCACATTATTAATGCAGCCCTAATATTAACCAGTACAGACCAGAAGTGAGGCTACATGCTGAAATCCCATCTATATCAAGAAGTTATATTCACATACTGAGCAACTGCCATGGGGTTAAAAACTGGGACTTGGAATACTGTGATTGGGTCTGTGAAGAGCAACCACCTTTTGAGGATATCTCTTAGATCAGGGTGGCCAATCCCAAGATCACAGGGAAGGTGGCAAAGTCTTCCTCTTCAAGAGTCAGGTGGGTTTCTAGGATCATCCCACTTAATTATATCCCTACACTCTCAATAAATCTCTACCCTCGCCTAGAAACTGGCTCACACTGTAAAACGTGGGGCCATGTGGCTTTGCTTAAGCTGCGGTCCCTCTATTAAAATGGGAATCTATGTCCACTGCGTTGTTCTCAGCTTTGTGAGGGATGCCAAACTTGGCCCTGTCCTTATCAGGAGCTTAAAATCTACCAAGGGCAAAAGGAGAGATAAAGAGAAGAGGTGGAGGGGGGAGGAGATAGTGATGGAGAGCAGGATGGAGGGAGAGAGAGAATAAATATGAATGAATAAACATGACTCTCCTAATCCATGGACATGGCTATCAGGTGAGTAGAAGGCAATAAGAACTATAAAAACTTTAAGGGGAGGAAAAATTACTGGAGTTTTAAAGGACTCAAATAATTAAAGAGGGGAGGGAATGGTGTTCCAAGTGTTGAAGAACAGACTGAACAATAGCAGGAGGTGAAAAAGAATGATGCTACATAGGCCTTTTCTAAGATAATATAATATTTATAGTGAACTAAAATGGAGAAAGTTAAATTTCCAAATTGAAGAGAAGTAGTGAAGAATGCCCCAAATAAGAAGACTCAGCCCTAATCTAGCAGCTTTGGGAGTTGTGCAGGGCCTAATAATATGATTGGCCAGAGGAGGAAGGCAGAGGAAAGGAAGGAGGAAGTATTCATTACCAAGGACCACCTTGGGAATCCACCACCACCACCACCACCATCATCACAACAGAGAGCTAAATTTCTAACAAGTTCAAATAATTCCTATGGGAACACAGTCAATATAAATCCCAACCCAGTCTAACTCCACTGCCCACACTCTTTCCTCTGCTACAATAGAAAAAACTTTAAAATGCATTTAATTTACTTTTCATCAGCCCTCCTCATTTCATTTTTTTTACCTGATTCCAGAAGCTTCTTGACACAGGCTATCTGCTTGTTTTCACAAGCCAAATAGAGTGGAGTGCCCAGGTGGCTGATATGATAGTCAATGTTACCCCCATGAGCTGCAATGGACTCGATGCACCCCATGTGGCCTGCAGCCCAAAATAGGAGAAAACAGTTACACAATGAATTCTCTTAGCTAGGGAAACACATTCCTCATTTTTCGTGATTTTTAACATTTTAATTAAATTTATTGGGGTGACACTAATAAGTAAGATTATATAGGTTTCAAGTGTACATTTCTATAATACATCATCTTTATATTGCATTATGGACCCACCACCCAAAGTCTAGTCTCCTTCTGTCACCACATATTTGGCCTCCTTTATTACCACCCCTTACCTCTAGTAAACATATTTTTAAATCTGCCAGCAACTTATCCAGGGGGCCTAATTATTTCCTTTGCTTAGAATACTGTCATCAGTTCATAAGTTGACCACAGATGTAACATCGGCTCTGGGTGGAACTGCACTTGAGTTTACTAGCCATGTTAAGCAACTAGCAACCATCCACCTTTTTTAATTGTTTGAGCTTTGCAATCAGTCCAAGTACAGAAATGGAAGTTTGAGTTGGGTAGAGGTATGGAGGAACAGAGATTGAATATGGACTTGAAGAAGAAAGGGCACAGTGCGGGCTATGGGACAGGGAATCTCACATACAACCTCACCAGAGACAGGCCCTGGGAACAACATTTTGAATGCTCTGGAAAGGTAGTTCTCAGGTTTCCTGTTCATCAGAATCACCAGAGAGGGCTTTTTAAATGAAACAAAGATGGCTGAACCAGAGTCACTGGTTTACTGGGTCTGGAGTGAGGCCCAAGAATCTACATTTGTATGCTAGGTCACACTGATGCTTCCGACCTTGAGAACTACTGCTCTAAAACTGACTTCTTCTTCCTTCTTTCTTTCAACAGGGAGGTCCCTTGAAGGGTTGGTGGGAAAACAAATGCTCAACAACTTTACCTCTCTTAGCAGCTTCATGGATGGGAGATGCCAGATCACATGCAGGGTGGGGGCTGGCTCCATACTGCAGAAGCAAATTCACACATTCCTGGCTGCCACTGACACAAGCATTAAACAAGGGAGTGTGCCAGTCTGTGGTAACGCCATCCACCTGTAATGAAAAGCTCCACAATGCAGACAAAGCAATGGGGTGTCCTGCATTCAAATCTACACTCCACCACTTCCAAGCTGGTATTTTAACTTCTCTGAGCCTTAAATTCCACAGCCACAAAATGGAGGCAAAAATATGAAATTCCATGAGGTTGTTGTGAAAAACTGAATGAGGCATGGAATGTAAGGCACCCAGAAAGTTGCTGAGTGCTCTGTCTCCTTCATGCCCTCCCCAGGAACGCAAACTTGGAAACCAGTTAGGATCATTTCAATACCTTACAAAGTAACCTCTTTATTTTAAACATTCCATCCTAGACCCATGCCACGTCAATCCAGTGTCTTCACAGCAGCCAGAGTAACCTTCCAAAATTGTTAAAAAAAATTTTTTTTAAACACGACCTTCATACAAATAGAGAGTGAACACAGGCCAAATATTTTTTTCTCAATTCATCCATTAATGAGGGAACCAGGAAGATGGTAAGGCTGGCTGAAAGGAGAATTTATGTAAGTCATTCAATGGAATGCTGAAATCAATTTGCTAGACACAAAACTGATTAATGCCCTATTGGGGTATAAAAGTATAATCTTTGGGGATATTTTTTCTAATGTTGGAAATCAGACAGAAACCTACAAATTAGCATCTCTCTTCACAGGGTTTGGGCTATCATTGAATAGGAAAGAGCAAAGCCAAATGCAGATGCATTTTCCTATATTGTTAAGAAATTCTTTGGTGAACTGTTAAACAATAATATTGTGAGACAAGGCCAGGACCAGTGACAAAAGACACTCAGGGGTATAAAATTTAAGGAGACAGCCACTCCCAGGGTCACAAAAGAGCTGCATGCCTCTAAAAGTGGACAGCTCTTTAAAGTTTGTGTCGTAGGCACCTCTCTTGCCTGTCCTTAGTCATGGCCCTGTTTACAAGTTTTGGGTGCTCTTCCTTAACCAAATATAAATCTGATGATGCACTCTCCTCTAGCTCTCTATTGCTGTCAGGACAAAGCTCATTTTCTTGGCATGGACAACAAGGGTGTTTGTATTCTGACCCATCACACCCACTTTATTCTCCTGCTATAAGGAATGATTTGAAATCACAGAAATGTGCTTTTCATTTCCAGGCCTTTGCATTTGGTATTCCCAGTGGAAAGGAAGCCCAGCATTTTCCCCAACCCACCATTTAGCTGAGTAACTCCTATAGGTCCTTGGGGTTTCAGCTTAGACATCATTCATTTCCTACAGGAAGCCTGTTTTGACTCTCTCCCCGTCAGAAATAATGGGTTGGGAGCACGTCTATGTGCTCCCAACAACCCCCTTACAATTAACACTTAGTACACTGTAGTTTGCAAAAAGGCCACAGATTCTCTGCATTGTATGCAGTGTGGCTTTGCAAGTCTTCATAAGATGGAGACTATTTTTTCCAGTCCTTGAATCTGGGCTTGCCCATGTGACTTTCTTTGGCTGATGGGACAGTAACAAATGTGTTACAAGCAGAGACCTTGCCCTCTTTTGCTTCCCTTGGAATCCCTGCTACCATGTAAACAAGTCCAGGCAGCCTGCTAAAAGATGAGAGACCACATAGAGATGTTTCTGGCTCCCCAGACATCTCAGCTAACCCAGTCAAGGTTACCATGAACTAGCCTGCTCCAGCCAATCTATCAGCTAATCTCAAATGCATAAGTAAGCCCAGCTGAGGTCAGCTGAACCATCCCAGACCAAAAGAGCTGTCCAGCCAACACAAGGAATTGTGTCGTCTTAAGCCATTAAGTTGGGGGGGTTCACTACACATCAAAAACTAATGAATAAAAATAGTGTATTGTAAATGCTTTCTGTGGCTGAGATGCTATTTCCTCTCTCGAGCATACAACCATACTATATTTCCCAGCCTCCCTGGCAGTTAGATTGGCCTGAGTTCTGGCCAATGGATGTGGGCAAAAGTGATCTATGTTACTACCTAGACTTGTTTTAAAAGTTTCTATGAACAAATCTCCACATCTTTTCAACCACCTGGAATGGAGATTACCCCAAGAGCACACACGGAAGCCACTTGTTGAAAATAGTGGAGCAGGATGGAAGAAGCCTGTATTCCTGAATAACCCTTGGGAAAGAGCCACCCACCTGGCAACACCCACACTGGAATTTCAGTTGAGCAAAAAACAAACTTTCGTTGTGTTAGGCTACTGTTCATCTATTGAAGCAGCTAGTGTTACAGCCGTTTAAAACACCTGTTTATTGGGTTGTCTCCTCATTTAGTTTAAGAGTTCCTAAAAGTCTTATCCACAGTTAGGTATATAATAAATGCTCAATACATGCTCAATAAATATAATAAATGCTGGTTAAGAGAATATGAGAAAGTCATATACAATTTTCAGATCAGATTTTCCTATCACTTTTGAGCATGAGAAGACTTAGTTAATGGAAGACTTACTCAAATTAAATGGCTTTGTCTCCTTCTTCCTCTAGGATCTCTCATTATGCTATCCTGATTCTCATTCTCCAAATAATAATCATATACTGTATGTATTTCAATCCTTGAAATAGCACAATAAGTTACACAACTCTTTGTTATTTCTTCCATTTTTAAGATGTAGACTCTAAAGTTCAAACAATAAGTAACTCGTTCAAGTTTTCAATGTTAGTAAATGGTAGAGATGGCCTAGGACAGTGATGGCGAACCTATGACACGCGTGTCAGAGGTGACACGAGAACTCATTTTTTTGGTTGATTTTTCTTTGTTAAATGGCATTTAAACATATAAAATAAATATCAAAAATATAAGTCTTTGTTTTACTATGGTTGCAAATATCAAAAAATTTCTATATGTGACACGGCACCAGAGTTAAGTTAGGGTTTTTCAAAATGCTGACACACCGAGCTCAAAAGGTTCACCATCACTGGCCTAGGACCACTACTCGGATCAGAAGCCAAATGTTGTGTGTTTTCTACAAATATTTCACTACCTTCAAGCCATTAGAATTAAGACAGAAATCTAACAGCTATTTAATAGTACTGAGTATCAAAGAGAATGAGATAGACAGGAACTATTCCTTTCTAGCTGAAAATTCGGTACATCTATTGCTAACGCAGACAAGCTAGATGGACATAATACTTTTGAAAAACATCCCTCTTCACATTTCAAATCAGGCTAATCAAAAATGCTGGGAATTATTCTGAAGGGATAGAAATAGTAATTTTTCATTCATGGTTTCTAAGATGTTATTTGAGCAGCACTTACCTCAGCTCCATGCTTCAATAAAATGGATGCACAAGCGGGATGACCTCCAAGACAGGCCTCATGGAGTGGGGACACACAATCTGCTGTGATGATGTTCACACCCCACCCCTGGAGGAAGGAACGTGAGCAGAATAAGGGGATTTATTCATGTTTATTGTATATGCAAAGCATCAGTTCTGTTAAGGTTGGTTTTCAGCCAGGAATCCAGTACTATGACAATTCTTTTAAAAGTTCACCTGACTCAAAATCTGACAGTATACAATGATGCAGAAAAACAAAAACAAAAAAGGATCTTTCATACTGCTGATGGGAATGTAATATGATACAACCATTCAGGAAAAGTTTGACGGTATCTATTAGAGTTGATGATATAATACTTAGGACCCAACAATTTGACTTTTAGGTACCTATACTCAAGACTGACTTTCATTTTGCTCTCTCTCTCTTGTCCTCTCACTTGTTGGCTTATTGTTTTGATGAGCTCCACGGCAAGGAATTATTCCTGCAAGTACTCTTGCATTGTTGGGCTTGCCCTGCTATGTTCCAGTCTTTTGCCATGAGAAGAAAATATCTCGTGTAGTGCTGGGGGCCAGCCCCAGCGGTCCAGGGGTTCCCAAAGGTGTGGACGGAGTCGGCGAAGAATGTTTTACACAGAGACAGCGTTCAGAACTCTCTAGCTTTCCTTAGTCTCCGTGGATCTTCCCTGTGCCTGGCTGAGGCCACAGAGAGAGATCCCAAGGCAAGCTGAGCTTTTATTTTATAGTGAGAGGTAAACAAGGTAGTGGTTTCCATAGTTACACAGTTCTTGTGAGTTTCACTTGTTTACACTGTTCTTGTGAGTTTCACTTGTTTTTGTTCTTGTTGCACTTCCCTCAGCCCATTAGCTTCCCAGGTAAAATCTAGGGAGCGTTATAAGGTCAAGCCGAATTATGCTAAGAGGACTGTGCCCTCTAAGCTGGGAATTGTTTATGACTTTGCCCACAGATCAGTCTGAGGCTTAACCCTGTATCAGCTCCCCACAGTGTAGCCAGTGGTCAAAGAAGGATGGGAGACGTATGCAGCAGAGCTGCACCCAACCCACAGCTTGAAATAAACCCAGATTAGATCAGCTGATGTAAAGACTTGTTAGCAAGAAATGTTTATTGCATATGCCACTGAGTTTGAGGTGGCTTGTTACACAGGAAGATCTGACTAATGCAGATAGGTATTGGAATGCTCATTTTATAAAGGTAGAAATTCAGGTTCCACAAAGATAACTTGCCCAAATAATGAGATAGAGCTTAGATAAAGGCATAGTTCTGGCTGATGTTCAGTAAACGCATAAATTCTGAATATAAATGAGTATGAGTCCAATTTAATAAGTGACATATAAAAGCTGCAATGATCATTTTTCGTCCTATTAAAGTAAGGTAAATGTCACATTTTATCTGAGAAGAAGCTTAACTTCTTTTAGCTAGAGTTACTATCTATATTTCTACTTATAATAAGCTGTTGCTATAAAAAACAGGTTAAGATAGGGGCTTAGGGTAGTCTGAAAATTTTCTTTAGAAATTGCTTTCTACTAGGAGAGTTATTTATTCTAGAAAAATCCGTGAAATTGGAATTTGTTTTGAAAGCACATTTATTTTCACTAAACACTATCTGAAATGTATCATGTCCTTCAATTATTTATTCAACTATTGATGTAGACAACAAACCACAGTAGTAATAACAGTTTATAGGACTATCATGGAGAGGAATCACGGATAATTTTATTACATACCAATTCTTACAAATATTTAAAATAGCCACAATATATGTTCATCCTACTTAGAAATTATGGTAGTCATTAGAATCACCACTAAATCTTCTTTGATGCATTAATGAAGAAGTGTCACACATTCGTCATGTAATATGTTGATAGCTTTTCTCTGTATTATGTCTTATGTATTTAAAACATTAATCTGAGAAGGGGTCTATAGACTTTGCCAGACTGTCAAAGGGGATTATAGTCAGAAAAGGTCAGTCCTAACTGGTTTGGCTCAGTGGCTAGAGCTTCGGCCTGCGGACTAAAAGGTCCCAGGTTCGATTCCAGTCAAGGACATGTACCTTGGTTGCGGGCACATCCCCGGTAGGGAGTGGTGTGCAGGAGGCAGCTGATCGATGTTTCTCTCTCATCGATGTTTCTAACTCTCTATTCCTCTCCCTTCCTCTCTGTAAAAAATCAATAAAATGTATTTTAAAAAAAAGAAAAGGTCAAGAGCTCCTAATTTAAAAGATCTATTGTCTTTTTAGAAAACAGAACATACTGAACAAAAACTTTAGAATTTTGAATGGTGACTTAAAATTAATATCAAACTGGGCAGAGCTACTATCAACTGAAGATTCAATAGAACTACTAACATTTTAGGCTCGATAATTTTTTGATGTGCAGAACTGCTCTGTGCAATGTAGGATGTTTAGTGGCATCCCTGGTCTCTATCTGCTATATGCCAGTATCACGCTACCATACCCACTCCCAGTAGTGAGCACCAAAAATGTCTCCAGACATTGTCAAATGTCCCTTATGGGGCAAAATCACTCCAGTGAAGAACCAAAATTACATGATAATTTTAAAGAACATAGTCTATATTGAATAAAGTAAAGACAACTTAAATGCACTAATTTCCCCTTTATTCATTTAATAGATACTTATTATAGTACCTATTATGTGCATAGAATTGTGCTAAATTCTAGTATTATGCCAGCCTCCAAATTTTAAAAATGGTTGAATAGGATCAGATTTGCCTCACTTTGCTGAGGAATTTATATTTTAATATCAGACTATGATTTTTTTCTCAGTGTGGTGAGCAATAGGATGTGCTTAATGTTTATCTTTTTTTTCTCAAAAAGCTACCTACCTGGCTGATGAGACGCCTCAAAGAGAGCAGACGCCCATTGATTGCAGCTTCATGCATTGGAGACCAATCAGACTCAACACCTGTATGGAAAGGGAGGAACAGGTTACATCCAGCTTATGTACTTTAGACTGGAGGCTCATCCTTGTCCATCAAATAAGAGCCTAATGGGCATTATTGGTTGGAGTCCATCAACCAAAAGCCCTATCAGGACTTCAGCATTTCTCCCCTTTATTGATGTTTTTTGTACACAGTTTATTAGAAATGTCTAGGTGGCTAAAGAACTACATCCAGTATCCAAACTAAGGACAAAAGAGGTAGAGTGGGATGACAGATGGATTACTGTACTTCCATTTACACACTGATTTCAAATGGTCCATTTAGTTAAGTTAGAGCTTCACTAATTACCAGCATTAATGTGTTAAGCTGCGGTTGCCAGTCTAGTTTCCTACATGAAATACAAACTTTGGCATCTCAGCAAACAGTGCCATATACTAATAGTAGTAATCAGGTAATTACATACACCATTAGGTATGGAATCAAATCTAAATCTACATCTATACCTCCTGTCCCAGTATCAAGTGCAAATCAGAGCTCAGTCTGACTTGTAACAGGGACATTATTTACTTCCAAAGGCAGTGTGCTAAGGTGGTTAAGAGAAAGATCTGGATTCAGATCCACTTGATTTCTTCTGAGCTGTGGGTCCCTGGACAGGCCCTAAGCTTCAGTTTCCTTCTCTGTGAAGTGAGAACAGCAGTATACTTAACCAAGGCTCAATACCTATTAGATACTATTATTATCATGCCCTAACACTAAACAGAGAGTCTTGATTACACCCCATAATCACTGCTATTTAAAATAGCATATTTGTTCCACAACCATTTGGAAGGAACACACATTCTTAGGAAGGAAGCCTGTAAACCCTATCCCCACACATTAAATGCTTTCCTCTTTCTAATTGAGTGTGGATCTAATCTGAATGAGGCACAGACATGAATTTTTCTTGTCTTAAACTGCGACTGATTTCCAGAACAAATGCAGGAAGTCAGAATGTGAAAAAGCTCTTCTGAGCTTGCTTTAGCTCCAGCTCTGCCCACTTCAGTTCCAGCTCTGCCCACTACTGCACACAGAAAAGGCAGAGTGGTCTAATGCCAGTGACATCTTGTAAAGGAATTGCTGTTTCCTAAAAGCTGAGACCTGGAGAACCTGGGTAGTTACTGATGCTTTGCAAGTTGAAAGGCCATAAAGAAAGAGGCAAGAATGCTTTGTACTTGACACGTGTTGGCTGAGGTCTGCCTGCTCCATAGAGCTAGCAATGTCCCGGAAAATCTGTCCCAGTGAGCAAATTACCATCTTCCCAGATGGATTCATGGAGCATGTAATAGGTAAGGGGAAGCTGACTGAGTCTACCTACAAACTGCCCATCCAATGCTTTCCTTCTGAGCTCACTGATGTGCATGAGGCACCTTAAGAAAGTGGTTTTTCCTACCTCAAAAAACAGGCTCAGTAGAAACCCAGTCTCCTCAAAGCCTTCTGAGTTTCTTACTTCTCTCAGAAAAAAAAATATTGCTGCTTCTAGCACTTAGAGCAGAGGTCCTCAAACTTTTTAAACAGGGGGCCAGTTCACTGTCCCTCAGACATTCCACACATGCGCACTGCAGGCCTGGGACGAGTCAGCTGCTAAGCAAGGACAGGCAGCGGCAGCAAAAACACCCGGCGGGCCGGATAAATGTTTTCGGCGGGCCGCATGTGGCCCGCGGGCCGTAGTTTGAGGACCCCTGATTTAGAGCCTACAATCTACACTGCAGAAACAGAAATATTTCTTTCTCAATTAGAATTAAAGGACAACTAATGCTGCCCTATTGGTGCTAATGCAAAATACCATCCACACCAAATCTTGTGAAAAGAGCCAAAAACGTAAAAAGGTTTTGAAAATCAGTTGTAAATAGATTTGCAAATGGACCCTAATAGATCACCGTGTGTGATGAGTAATCTGTTTTTCCTTCCAAGTGCTCAGCTGCCACACTTCTCAACCTTTCTTAAGGCAACCTCAGGTAATTAGAGGTGACAGACTAAACAGTCCAGACAGGTAATTTGGGTCCTAAATGGCAAATCTGTTTAGATTTCATTAAAATGATGCAATTACATTATCAAGTGTAGACAAAAATGGGCTTTACTTTCTATTCATTCATCATGGAATCATTACTCCTTCTATTTAGTGTAAATTAAGAATTATGTACTTCTTGAAGAGAAAAAAAGCTACCTGAGGTCTTGTACCCCTGCTTTAGAATGTAGCATTTACAGAGCACAGACATATGTGTCTTTGAGAAGCACCGGGCATTGTCCTGATACATGTGGTAGAGGTTGACAATATCTATCTAACAGCTTTATTGAGTTCTAATTCACATTCTGTACAATTCACTCATTTAAATCTACAATTCAATGGTTTCTAGTACATTCAGAGTAGTGCAACCATCACCACAGTCAATTTCAGGACAACTTTATCTTCCCCAAAAGAAACCCTTGCCCATTAGCAGTCACTCCCCATTTCTAACTCACCAACCCCTGGAAAACATTGGTCTCTTTTCTGTCTCTATGGATTTACCTATTCTGGACATTACATATAAACATAATCATACTAGAGGCCCGGTGCATGAAATTTATGCACAGGGGGGGTGCATCCCTCAGCCCGGCCTGCACCGTCTCCAATCTGGGACCCCCTCGGGGGTTGTCTGACTGCCAGTTTAAACTGGCAGTCAGACATCCCTCTTGCAATCCGGTACCGCTGGTTCCTAACCGCTTGCCTGCCTGCCTGCCTGATCGCCCCTAACTGCCTCTGCCTGCTGGCCTGATTTCCCCCTAACTGCTCTCCCCTGCTGGCCTCATCGCCCCTAACTAACTGTTCTCCCCTGCTGGCCTCATCGCCTCCTAACTGCTCTCCCCTGCCAGCCTGATTGCCCCTAACTGCCTCTGCTTTGGCCCCCACCATTGTGGCTTTATCCAGAAGGACATCTGGAAGAGGCTAAAGTCCTTGTATACATTTGAGATGAATTTTGCCTTTACAAGGACCAAAGGCAAAATTCATCTCAAATGTATACAAGGACTTTAGCCTCACGGGTCACTGAACAATTGAATGATTACATGAAAATTTAAAATTGTGACAATGAAAGGCTGATATTTTTCTAGCATTGAGAGCATGAATTATGTATGTATATATGCATATACATATATGTGTGTGTGTTTGTATCTATATATGTACGTTTATATGTATATATACACATACCAGTATATGTATATGTATAGTTTAGCAAATGGTATAATTTGCAACAAGGGTTAGTACACACACTTTAGCTCTTGAAAAACACTGAAGAGATATCCGAGAGATTTTTCTCCAGGGTTTTCTAGAGCCCACACCCCAAGCAGGCAACTCATGTAAAGTAAACCCAGAAGCTGCCTTGCCTGCCTTCCTGCTGATAACTGGAAAGAGGAAAATCAATGGGAAAGGGGACATTTTCCTACCAGAACACGGGCGATGCTCACAGTAGGAGACTATGGAAGAAAGGGAGATTCAAGGTCACAATCCCCTTTCCACTGACGCCAAACTCTTTGAAACTCAAGAGCCATGATCAGTATAGAACACATTATCCAAGCCCTTGATGTACCAGTATGTTAAAGATTCTTCCCCAGCGTTTGTTCAGCCAGGGTCTATTGGTTTTACCACCAAAAAATAGATACTAAATGAGGTCAGTGGCAATACCATAGATCCAAAATGGGGCAGGAAGCTGTCCTAACAAAAACACTGCATAAGTCCTCCAATTAGTGCCATTAAACTTACCTTTCTTTCAAATTGAGTCTCCATCAAACCCTGCAGCACATTAGAAAGGCTGCCGCTTCATTTTTGTTGTAATTTCTGTAATCATTTTTTAAATTTCCATTATTTCAGAAGAGATTTAAAATGCACTAATTGGTACATTCTAAAAAGAGCTATTAAAGAAGCTCCGAGAGCCCCCAGTGATGCCAACAGAAGCATAAATGTTTCCATCCTAAGAAACCTTTTGCAAGGTCAAGGGGGAAAAAAGAGATGCTCCAAGAGAGTGGAAACATTTGCCTTCAGTCTTTGAAACGTGAAAGGGTAGGGCAGTGGTCAGCAAACTGCGGCTCGCGAGCCACATGCAGCTCTTTGGCCCCTTGAGTACGGCTCTTCCACAAAATACCGACTTCTGCGCATGGGCCACGAAGTTTCAATCACACTGTACGTGCGTGCCCGCACATGGTATTTTGTGGAAGAGCCACACTCAAGGGGCCAAAGAGCCGCATGTGGCTCGCGATCCGCAGTCTGCCAACCACTGAGTTAGGGTCATTCCTACCCTATGCGATTCAGACCCTGCCCTGTAATCGTTCCCCAGCCTCAGTCCCACATCATCAGGCTGTGCATTGGCCATTGGAACTTTTATGGTCAAAACAGATCTCCCTTCCTCATTCTGCTAGCAAGCAGCTCCCCCTCCCAACTTCTCTTTTGTCTAGCCCTCTTATCTGACATTAGTTTAGGCTTGAAAACTTTACAATTTGGGCTGCTTTCTCTCCTTTAGCCCTAATATTTAATAAAGCAACATAGTCTGATTTATCTTTCTTTTGAAATGATCACTCATATTTTCCCTTTCTCTGTCATTTCTAAGTTTGATCCAAATGTGAGGTTCATGCTTGGATTAGTGCAATGGTTCTCAAGGTGTAGTCCCCAAATAGCACGATCAGCATCACCTTTTATAAATGCAGATTCTCAGCCTTATCCCAGACCTACCACTGCATCAGAAGCCCTGGGGGTGGGGCCCAGCCTCTGCATCTTATCACACCCTCCAGGGATGCTGGTGCACATGAGAGTTTGAGAACCTGTGGGTTAGCGCAAGAATTTCCCGTGATCCTACCATAATCCATCCTGATTATGGCTACCAGTTTCTTTTACTACAGTCTTAATTATTGCCGGATCCCTGTTCCAGAATCACTGATGGCTCCCAATTCTCTGCCTCATAAGCTAACTCTGCCACCTACCTTTTGAAGTTTCATTATTGGGCTTCATCTCTCCAAACTTGTTCTCACTAGACTTTCTAAGAAACTGCATTCTAGTTGTGACAGTGTGGTCACTTTAAGTATTTTTATTGATTTTTACAGAGAGGTGGGAGAGAAAGAGAGAAACATTAATGATGAGGAAGAATCATCGATCAGCTGCCTCCTGCACGCCCCCTACTGGGGATCGAGTCCGCAACAAGGTACATGCCCTTGCCGGAATCGAACCCGGGACACTTAAGTCCACGGGCTGACTATCCACTGAGACAAACTAGTTAGGGCTGTGTTCACTTTTTAAGTATTGTATTTTGAAGTATATTTACACCTGTCCACCCCCACCCCACTCATCCAGCCCCAACCAGGGTTTGGATTGGGACCTTTAGAAACCCTCAAAAGTGAAAAGTGTTTGTCACCTCTCTCTCATATGAAAATAAACATAATACTTAGCTGTAAAATAATCCTGTGGAAGTCAACCACTAAATTACTGATTCTTTCCCATATTGATTGGTTTACTATTTCGCAAATATATTTATCAAAATCATTTTAAAAAGTGATTTTCGGTGCCACTCTGCTTTTTACTGATCCAAGTCTATGCTCAACCCAGATGATTAATCCAGTTCTGCCTTTGCGGATCCAAATCCCACTCACTGTTAAGTGTTCTGCTCACTTTACAAGCAAAATGGGAAAAATGAATGAATGAATGAGCAGTCTTATCTGTTCAATTAATTCAGAGGAAAAGCATTTTGTGTCTTATTCGGGTTTTTCCCCCTTTCAGCACTTATATAGTAGGAAATTAATAAGTTCTAGCTGACTGCAGGGTCCCTGCTTACTGATTGCAAGTGTTATGAGCAGTCTACCAGGGTGCTGGATATAATAATCTTTTCTCAAATGCCTCCACCATTTTTCAGAATACTTTCAGTTAGCAGGAACCTGATGAATTCTCACAGGAAATGACTGTTTCCTGGAGGTGTAGACTCTATACATTAGCAAAGACACCACCTGACAGGTGATAATCATTCCTGTAAGATTTGTCCCCAAAGTTTTTTAAAAATAAGGTTCCTTGTATGTTTTAAATATATTTTTTTATTGATTTCAGCCAGGCAGGGAGAGGGAGAGACAGAAACATCAATGGTGAGAGAGAATCATTGATTGGCTGCCTCCTGCACACCCCCCACTAGGGATGGAGCCCACAACCTGGAAATGTGCCCTGACCAGAATTGAACCGTGACCTCCTGGTTCATAAGTCGACACTCAACCACTGAGCAACACCATCCGGGCAAGGTTCCTTTTAAAGTGAATCAATCACTTTAGTGCTCAATGTTTGAACATGCTTTATTAACCCAGCCCCACGTCAATTCCAAATACCAAAAAACTTCTTAATAAATGTTTTGGCAGTAAAAATGTTTCTATTTATAAGTAACTTTTAAACCCCCAATGTAATGTGATATATTTGACCTTTGGAGTTAAAGTTTTTACCAGAAAATAAACACTGACAGCTCTCTATGGTCTATAGGACTCTGTAGATATTGCTGGACACATTTTTGAACAATTGTGTAAAGAATATATACTAGCAAGCCGTGTGCATCTGCCTAGCAAACTGCCCCATGGACATATCTACTAATGAGCCACTAAAATTGCCCAGCCCTCTTCTCTCCCTCTCCATTAACCAACCTCCCCAGCACTCTGATTTCACAACCCCTAGACTCACCTCCCATCAGTGGATTTGAGAGAAACCTGGTGGCAGAAAAGTCTCCTAGATCTGAGGGCTTGCTGCCAATCCTGCTTGGTGGTTCGCGATCCATTGTGCTCTCCTGGGTCAGTCAAGCTCCCTGTTCCACTTCAGTTGGTCAGGAAAAGTCCAAATTCCAGGCTCCCCCGGCTCCTGGGAAATTCCAGTGCAGTGGCTGGCTGAGCTGCACCGTCCTGGTCAGATGGTAGGAATAGCCGTCTGCAACAGAGAAAAGAACAGGCACAGTAATCTGAGTACTACCTGTGGTTGTTCTCTCTCTCTCTCTCTCTCTCTCTCTCTCTCTCTCTCTCTCACACACACACACACACACACACTCAGATACACGCACCACCTAGCTCTCTGGAGGCTGGCTAAAGCCCACAACAGCCCCCTAGCCCCAAGTCTATAAAGCTGCTGATGTCACGTCCTTTCTAAAACTGAGACCAATCAGTGAGGAAGGCTTGGGGTTATCAGGAAGGAAACTCACACTTTGTAACTTTTGGAGAGCGAAGGAACAGGGTGGGGGTGAAGGAAACCTTGTTCCTGGCTGCAGCCTCATTCCCCTGCTGGGATCCTTTCGTTATTTGGGGGCTTCCTGTTGAGACAAGTCCCAGAACCCAAGAGCAGACAAAGCTGGTGTTGCTGCAGCCCTGCTGAACTGCTTGCACAGCAACATGCCCAGTACGCCCTGGCCATCTGCACATGTGGTTTCAATTTTTCTGGGAGTTTCTTATGGGAAAATGTGTCTATATGCTACAAACATGCAAACTTAGAAAGAACTTTTATTTTCTTCCTTCCAACTGCAAGGATTTCATTAAATGCCCTATATCACCCTTCCTCCACACATTATACATTAACTTCTAAGTAAATAATTAATGGTTACTATTGAAAAATGGATTGCTGGCTGGCATGGGGGCATGAAAGAAGCCTGCTATGTTATTGTTAATTATAAAGTTTTAGTTTTTGAAAGTCTTGCCTTTACAAAATATTTGCTTTTTGTACATGTGTCTTTGCAGATATGCCCTGCTTCGCCACACCTCTGGGTGCTGGTTCTAGCTGACGGGCATCCCTAGACTCCAGCTACTCCTCTTCCAGAACGGAGTTTTGCTTCCCCATCAGGGAAGACTGAGTGAATATCAAGCAGAGTCTGGCTGTGAAATGATTGCAGAGTAGCCTCACTGTTTCAGACTTATGGATCCTCAGTTGAAAAACATGGTGGCCATTGTTAGCAGTTTGAGGAGAGTCATTTATATTTCGTAATACATTTCCATGTATACATATGTATACATATACATTTATCCCCTTATAATTTTCACATAATTGTAATTATCTAACCTAATAATAGACAAACATGGTAATTGACTATACCTCCCATTGGCTAATCAGTGTGATATGCAAATTAACTGCCAACAAAGGTGGCGGCTAATTCGCATACTGCAGACAGGGCAGGCCAGCGCAAGCCGCCATCCAGCCCCTGTGTGCCACCTAAGCCCTGCCCCCAGCCGGGATCCCCGTGTGCGGCCCTGGGCAGAGGGGTTTGGTGGAGTGAATGCGCTGCCTAAGCCCCGCCCCCAGCCGGAACCCCTGTGTGCAACCCTGGGTGGGCAGGACCCCCGTCTGCAGCCCTGGGCGGAGGGGCTTGGCGGTGCGATTGGCCCAAGGAAGCCCTATTCTTGCAGGAATCCTCCTGCAACGAACTTCTAGTATTATCATATAGTTCTATGTTTTTTTACACTTACTTTGTCTTGGAGCTCTTTACATTTCAGCACATAGAACTATGTCCCTGTTTTTAGTCACCACTGGAAGTATCCCATATTGTTCCAAAAGTATTTTATCATTTCCATAAGATGGAGGTAGAATGTTACCATTTTATTTATGACTAGAGGCCTGGTGCACAAAAATGTGTACACTCGGGGGGGTCCCTCAGCCAGGCCTATGCCCTCTTACAGTCTGGGACCCCTCGAGGGATGTCCATCTGCTGGCTTAGGCCCACTCTCCAGGGGATGAGGCCTAAGCTGGCAGTCACATATCCCTCTGGCAGCCCAGGACCCCTCAGGGGATGTCCACTTGCCAGTGGGGAGCAGGTCTAAGCTGCAGTCGGACATCCTTAGCACTGCTGAGGAGGTGGGAGAGGCTCCCACCACCACCGCTGTGCTGGCAGCCATCAGCTTGGCTTGTGGCTGAGCAGAGCTCCCCTGTGGGAGCACACTGACCACCAGGGGGCATCTCCTGCATTGAGCACCTGCCCCCTGGTGGTCAGTGTGTGTCATAGTGACCAGTCATTCCCAGTCGTTCTGCTGTTAGAGTCAATTTGCATATTACCCTTCTATTATATAGGATTACAAAAATACTGAGTCCCTATTTCCTTACATGTAGAGTTCTGCACACATGCAAATATTTCTGGAGGAGAGATTCCTAAGAGTGGAAATACTGAGTCAAAGGTGTGTTCATATACGTGATAATTTCTCTAGAACTAAAGACACACACAGGAGTACAAATCAAAATGAAGAATTCTGAACGAGATTAGTAGATGTGTTACTGATAATGTCCTGGTTGTGATATTGATAGTGGGGAAGGGCATGTAATAAGAATAGAGCCACAGTTGTCTAATAATCATTCACCTTACTAAGTATAGATGAGAAGTTTTCTTACAGACCCTGGGAAGCTGGAGGACGAAACAAGGCTGTAAAAAGATAAGATGCCTCAATGGGTCCATTATTCAGAAAAGAAATACATTTTGAGAACAGAACAAGGACAGGACATGATTTGATTCTGTTGCTGTTGCCAGAGCCTGACCCCCTCCAGTTTTCTCAGGAATGCTGACCATGCTCTGGTCCCAGGAACGGGCTGAGCTGCTTGCAACATCATAGAAGATTAGCCACCTTGTTATCGGACTTTGAGCTCCTGAAAGCCGGACTGCAGACCCTATCCTCCCCTTTCCATGTTACACTTTGCAGCTCGCAGCTACACGTAGCTATCTTCTTCCTCTTATGTATATAATCAACCAACCAGCAAGAGGGGTCAGAGCAGAATTTCCAGAGTGACCAACTGCTCTCCCCATATTGCCCGCATTATTGGAATAAACACTCATATATGATTCAACCTTGTCTCTGCTTAATTTGGCTCAAGTTGTGACAGGCGACCTCAGACCCATTGTGCCCAGTTTCAATATTATACTACAGTTTTGCAAAAGTAAAACTGGGCAAAGCCACAGGAGATCTTTTTATATTATTTCTAACAACTGCATGTGAATTTACAATGATCTCAATAAAATTTTCAATTTGAAAGAAGGGTGTCCACTTAAAATTGAGATCAGCACTGCCAAATTGCCCTTCAACTCTATTTGCAGAATTAACTGAGAAGTCCATTAGCATATACATGGTTCACCACTCCAACAGGAAAGATATGAAGAACAATAAAACATGCATTTGGCAAAGAAGGAGAAATTTACTCCCAACTAGATTGTATGACAAGGAGTTAACAAAGGGGCATAATGGAGGAGCTGGATGCCATCACCCTTCTTTCTGAGTAAAATCTTCATAGTACAGCTTCTTTATTTACCTTTAATTAAATTCCAAGAAGATAAGGTTGTTCCATACTCAAATTTAAGTCTGTTGTCCAAAATGACAATAAAGATTTCCAGGTTGTTCCCTTAGTACCTGAGAGGGAGTTAATCAGCTTTTAATCTTATTATATTTATAATGTTGATCAATACTTGTAAATATTAGAGGATGGGAACTATTTTTTTTAACCATTTCTTTTAGTTGGAAATTAGAAAACCATTACAATAGAAGCTCATGCATTTTTAAAGATCTGTCTGAGGATAAAGTTGAATTATGTAAGTATGAGCTGTGCTTATAGAAAAATAGTTACAATGAGCCACAAGAAAACAATCTTACCAACTTCTAGTCAGTCCTCGATGTTTTATGTCTACATGTTCAGGAAACTTGGCCCAGGTTAGGTAAGAATTATGGCCTGCAGCAGCATAAGGCCACAGTCACTTCTTATCTAGTGCAGTCCTAACACTAGCTGCATCCTCATCCCCACCCCTCACCTAGCTGTCCATGGCAGACATCATTAATGGTGACTCTTTCCTCTTGAGGCCTTGGGAGGCCTTGAACGTCACCTCCAATCAGCCAAAGCTGGCCCAGGAGCTGAAACCCCTTGTCATTCTAGTCAGCAATTTTTCTAGCACAAAATCTCTAAAACCTAAAAGGAATACATTTCCTCTGATAATTTGGAATGAACTACTTTTCCAGAACAAATCCCATCTGTTTCAGTTGTTCTCACATAACTGGCTCTGCACAGAGATATCTTATGTTGCTACTTTTAAAAAGCAACATCATTCATTACAAAGCAGTCACTCATTCCTATTCCATCTAGCTGTATAATAAGACTCGAACAGGAATATGTTTTTAAAAACCTGGCATGATGAAGTATTCTTGAGGAAAAAGGCAAATAAAAATTGAGAGATAGTCTACATAACAATGGATCTGGACTCTTCAAAAATGTCAATGGTGTGAAGGACAAAATGGGGGAGGCTTTCTAGATGAAAGGAGAATAAAGAGACTTGATAACTAAATGTAATGCATAAGCTTTTACTGGATCCTGATTTGGGGGGGGGGATAGGGGACAAGGCATAAAAGACATCAGTGCCACAATCATGGGAACTTAAAATGGACATATATCAGATAATCATAGTACATCAATGTCAAACTTCCTGCATGTGGCCACTGCACCAAGTTATGTAGAAGAATCTCTGTGTTCTTGGGAGATGCACACTGAAGTGTTTAGTGCAGGGCCATGTGGGAGCATGACACAAATGGAGAAATGTGCGCCCCTATGTGCACATTTTGCATCAAAAAGTTAATGCAGGCTCTACAACCAAAACACATGAGTATATATAAAGCCCACACTGCCCAAACCGTTTGAAAGCCATTGTCATTCTTCTAAAACCCAACAGCTACATGTCCCAGCACCGCAGGCTGATTGGAAACACTATTATCATTGTACAGTTATGCAGGGTGATAAAACAAACAACAGCTTCTCTTTAAAATTTTTAATGTTATAGTCATCACGGGCTTTTTTATTTAACACTGAATTTTAAAATATTGCACTAAAATATTTATTCTGATGAATGAGTTTTTTGGTGACCCTTTAAATTTTCTGCCTCACTCACCTCATCCTAATCCAAGCTCTGGTAAAGAATCATGAGGCCCATGGTTTATTCACAAAAGGTTCATTTAGAAAATATTTTATATGTATTAATTACACATGTGCTTACATATATATATTATGTAGGTGTGTGCACACACATGCATATACTATGTTTATGTACATACAAATATTCATTGTATTATTCTTGCAATTTTTCTGTAAGCTGAAAAATTTTCAAGATACAACAATGGTAAAGGAAGAATAATTAATAAATGGAAACAAAAACCTGGTATAAAATTGTTTCAGGTTAGCCCTAACTGGTTTGGCTCAGTGGATAGAGCGTCGGCCTGCGGACTGAAAGGTCCCAGGTTCGATTCCTGTCAAGGGCATGTACCTTGGTTGCGGG